GCCACGACCGGGATTCTTATTTTTATGTAGGATTCTTGATATGAAGTTTATTAATATGCCTCATTTTTTAAAGCAAAGCCGCATAAAACTAAACATTCATCTCGAACGACATTTTGTTAGTAGCACTTAAAATACAAAGCCATTGCGAAGAGAAGTTGCGATTTTCTTTATATTTTTTATGTAGCACGTCTGCAGTACATCTTGAAGAATACGAAAAATTTGCATGATAACAAAATACAATATTTCATACTATTTCCATAGTGGCCGTTAATGCAGTCTACCAGGAAGTAGTAAATCAAATAAATATGTAATATTCGACTCCTGTTGTCGTCCTCTAAACCTGATAAATTCTCTGCTTTGTTCCGCGAAACTGAAGGCGATTTACAAGACGCCTCCACCCGGTTAGAACGTGTAATAAAAAAAAAATAACTGAAAAGGACATAGGAATAAAAGTGTTTGATTATTTCCTCCCCTAGAACCGGGTATTTGAGCAAGTATGGGTAGAATCGATAAAAAAACGCTTAGAAAATCTAGGAATAAGGAAAAAACGTACATTTGAATAAGTTATGTTAAATGTATTTACCTAAACGCATAAGGAAAAGAGATTAGTTAGGAAAATTATTTTTCTACTCCCATAATAATTTCATTTATTAGATATTTATTACCTGCACTTTAATGAAAATCATTAAAATGCAAGCTTATAAACAATAAAACGCCACAAGCATAACTAAAATTGCAACTATCGAAACGACAACAAAGTGGTTGGTCACCAGTGATTGGTACTAGGTACCCACAAATCAAATTATTACATTTTATTCACCAATGCACGGAATTTTCTGGTAATTTAGTGACAATTATAGACAAGGTCAAAACCTCGCATTCGTGGAAGAAATTTTCCGACTCGATTTTTTTGCATATTCAGATTCGTGACATGTTCCTTAACATGAATAAAGATGATGCCGGCCGGAAATCTGGTACCCATTTGTTTAAACAAACTTTTTTAAACAAATTGTAAAAATTGGTTTTCTCACTCCAGAAAAATCTTTTTTGGGTTTTTTGGCACATTATAAACAAAATAGTCCCTATGCACTATGCCTCTAAAATTGATAGTTTTAAAGTTATAAACAATTTAAGTTGCTAAAAATACGAAAATGACGATTTTCAACGACCGACTTCCGGGTTAAAAATTATTTTTTATGTTGCCAGGTACCTAATTTTCGTTAAGTTGATTTTGACATTGATTGCCCATTTTTTGTCAAAAATTTAACGTTTTACTTCATATGCTCGCCAATCACATAAAAATTCCCGACGTATTTCTCTGAGTACCTACAGACCTGAGTATAGATTAAGAAAAAATGTTTTGTTTTTTTTTTCATATTCAAATTTACGTCAGTTGCACTGCGTGCCGCAGAGCGATTCCTCAAATTCAACATGCCTAGCGAAAATGGCTAGAATTTTGTACTATTTATGAATCAATAGATATTTTTTGAACATTACTATCCTCTAACTTTTCCATTCATTCCAAATAAAATAAAAAAATAAAATCGCAAAAATTTTTGCCAACGCAGTAGCAAATGCTCAGCGTCTAATATCCTGGTATGGTTTCAAGATCGAACAAGTGCGACGAATGAGAAATTTGTTTATTGCCTGAAAAAAGTTTATGTTCTGGAAGACTATAGAGAAGCACCCCCCGCATTCAGTGAACCAATTTGATTTAATTACTAATTAGGAGTTTCGAGAAATTTTGTCGCTCTTTCATCGAAGTAAACCGTTACAGGAATTCAATTAATTTTTTAATTAAAGGAATTTCAAGGATTTCACAGGGTGGATTTTAAAAATCCACTCGGAAGCATTTGTTTATTTAAGGCGAAAACACGTATTATTAACGGAAATTGTGGTAAAGCCAAAAAAAATATTAATTAAGTTTGTATAATAGAATGTGACTCAAAAACAAGACAGTGTTAAAATTTAATTCAAAACAAGTTTACCGAAAAACGTTATCAACAAGTGATCATACTTCGAGGCCGACTAGAAAAAATTTTCCAGTTTTGTATTACTTATGTGTAATTTGTTTATTCATGATTTGTCAAGGCATATCCTAAATTCGCTATTTACTTAAGATTAAGTGAAATGTAATTAGGTCATAATTTTCCACTTGCCAACAATGTTTGCCATATTTGGAGGTTCACATAATTTGCATTATTTAGCTTGCAATTTTTTTTATCTTCCAGACAGTATAATCAAATATAATTTAAACTAGACCCTGGAATTTTACCGGTGATAATTTTGTTTACGTCTAATAAAGGAATTCGTAAAACGTCTGCTTTTATGTGACAATGTGTTTTGTAGTGTTGCAACATCCGTAGTAAATTATTACTATTAGATAAACCCCCGCTTTTATGTTCCGTGCCTAAAACAGAATAACATTAGTCCAGATGTGTCCCTTTCCTCTCTTCATGTGGAAATTGTATAACTTTTGTTTTTGTTGTCTGTTCACATCTGTCTTTGCAGTCTTATTTATTAACTTAGTGAATAGGTTCAAAGAACTAACTTCTCCTTTTGTTACAATTTTAGTGGCCCTCCCTCGTGCCTAAAGGCATTCCAGAATTTATCCAAAATGAGTAATTCAGTATTTGTTCAATTTGTGCAATACCTGCTTACAAATCTGATATAACGAGCGTTCAAATAAAAACGTGGTCGAAGTTGGCTCTGACACATTGGACGTAGGGAGTAGCTTATAGCGACCAACCTAACCTCATTTCTCAACGAGCTGCATAGCAGCTGTCAGTTTCAATAACGTTAATGACTATATAACTTTATTTTAAAGAATAATCGTGATAACAATAACAAACAATTAAAGGAGCTGCGGAAAGTGTCCCCCTCCTTGTTATAACAATAAATTAAAGCAGCTGCTGAAAGTGTCCCCCTCCTTGTTCCAAGCACTTTTCACACCTGTTCCTCAAAGAATTAAAGACATTTTCTAAGATGCTCGGGGTATTGTTAATTTCACGAATCTTGTCTATAAGTCGAGCCTGCAGATGGTTTAAATCAGGAATAGGCAGTTCAAAAATAGTGTTTTTAAGGTAAGGCCACAAAAAGAAATCACACGGCGTAATATCACATGACCTCGGTGGAAATTCATGTTCAGCATTGAGACTTATTAGTCGATTTTGGAAAACTTCCCTCAACATATTCATCGTCTCGCCTGCCGTATGTGCCCTTGCGCCATCTTGTTGAAAGTAAAAGTTTGTAATTTCGTTTTCTTCCAGCTGGTTAACAAAAGGAGCGATAATTTCTTCTCTATACCTTTGCGCAGTAAGAGTACCATTAAAAAAAATAGGTCCATAAATCCTCCTTCGATTGAGAGCACACCAAACTCCAATTTTTTGAGCGTGTAGAGGGCCCTCGACAAAAAAGTTATCTGGTTTTTCAGAAGACCACATTCTCATATTCTGTGAGTTTACGTAACCACTTAAATGAAACCAGGCTTCATCAGAAAAAAAGGTGATATTATGAAGTTCACCGTAGTTGTTTAAAAACCATTCACAAAATACAGCCCGTCGCGGAAAATCAACTTCATGAAGTTCTTGCTGACAAGTTAAACGATAGGAGAACAAACGCAAATCTTTTTTTAACACTGTGTGGCAGGTACCGACTGATACTCCCACCATTTGTGATAAAACACGTACAGAAGTTCTTGGCGCATTTTCCATTATTTGTTGGACATTTTCTTTTAATTCTTCAGTCCGCTTTTTAGGTCGGCCGCTTCCTTCTTTTCTTGTTACACTGCCCGTTTCACGAAAAACATTAACACAACGCTGAACTGCACTTTGAAAAATTTTGTACTCAACAACGCCGGGAAATTGATTTTGAAATTCTATGAAACATTCCTCAATAGAATACTTCCATATTCCATCAATCTTGCGTCCATTTCTAAAGTAGGACTCTATGATAAACACTTTTTGTTCTTGAGAAAACACCATTTTAAACGCTTTTTAAAACGAAAATATTCAAATTGATAGCGGCGATATAGCGCTTTGACAGATGACGTTTAAGTTCATTTGCTATACGCTACGCCCTACGTCCAAATTTTCAGAACCAACTTGACCACGTTTTTATTTGAACGCTCGTTATTTAATCAAGTATCAGGTGTATCTCAGGGTTCCATACTTAGCTTACTGCTTTTTAATCTTTTTATTTGTGATATCACGAATAATATTAATATCTAATTATTGCTGTTTGCTGGTGATATAAACATTTAGTGTCGATAAATTTGACCTATAAAACAACTTCATTATAGGTTGGACTTATTCAGCTTTAAGTACACTCAGCAAAACAATTAAAGGGATAGAAAAATTACCAATTTTTTTTTCAAATCGATCGCTCTGTTTTCCTTTCCTGAGTCGTCAAAGTTTTATAAAAAATTAAAGGAGCAGGTTATTGTATGTTTCTCACAATTTCGCATTAAACAAAAAAAAATCAAAATTTTGAAAAAAGCTTTTTCGTCAATTAAAAATAAAATTACTTGACGTTTGAAATATTCAATGTATAATTGTAAAAAAAGAACGCAAAAACATTTAAAAATATTTTTTTTAATTTGATTTTTTTTCAAAATTGTTTTTTTTTCAAAATTTTGATTTTTTTTTGTTTTTTCGATATTTGTTGAGTAGGTATATAACACGAAATTGCGAGAAAAATAACGCAATCAAATTTGTTTCCTGTACATATTACTGAATAATAAATCTAGCAGTTTGTTTGTTATTTCACTTGCAATGGTCTTCTTTACATAAGACGCTTATTAACTTCTCTATCAAATCTAGTTTATACCGAAATCGACACATTCAATAATAAAAAATTTTTAACCTTCTGAGATGATACTCCCATGGAACTTGATCACCGATAAAACATTAATTTTCTTCCCGCCACCAATTGTCTCTTAACCCGGTTACTGTGGCTTTTCCGCGAGGAACACTGTAAACAAAGTGACAAAATTACGTTACCAGTAATATGATGCTCGACTGTCCTCTTGGATCGCAGTGGGGAGGACAGGTGGTCCCTCTCAGGAAGCTCTCGCCGAAGTTGCTGCAACCCAAGCGCCCGCTTGAGGCTCACCTGAAATTGAAGAAGGCTTTTACATCATCGTCCACGCTAGATAAACAGAAAGCCTTCTTAAGGAAATTGGAAATTGATTGTTTCCGTCGCAGAAGGCGCCGGCCCCTTCAACGCCAATTTCGATGAAGTGCCCCAGGTGTAATGCTTGGAATATGACAGGCTTATTATGGCTGTAGTGCGATGAAGATGAACATTTGAATGTTTTCTGCTGGGGTTAACCGATTTCGGTAAATTTGTTTTCTCCTTTCCCGAAAAAATAAGAAAAGTAGATGTCAAAAGAGCGATTTTTTGATAAAAATAAATCTGGATATCTTGATTCTTTTAAGAGATACAGATCGATTTTCAATTTTTACTGTTTTCTTTAATGCCTTTTTTCTTTGTCAACGATTATTATTTTTAGAAAGTACCTATATGTATGATACCGTTTTTTGCGTATATTTCTACAACTTTTTAGTTTTTTTTTTAGTCCTTCTCCTACAAAACATTGATTTTATTATTTACAAAATGAACTTAATTAATTAAAAATATTTTATAAGAAAGGACCACTGCAACAAATTACATTACATTCTGTTATAAACCGTTTATAAGTGATGTCTTAAAGCGCATTTTCAAATATATTTTTCTAGCCATTCTTTTCGTGTCAAAATGCTTTAGGTATTCGATGAAGGCATATTTAATATTCTTTATGTTCGAAGGCATTCTCCTTATCTTTTCTGGATTCGCTGTAAAAAGAAATGAATAACTAATTCTGTTTAAGCGGGATCATTTAAGGATATTCCGGGATCTGCTCCCACATTTCTGCATTAATTCCTTTGAAATACGATCAGCTTCGACGAAAAATGAGTTTACTTCGTTAAACACCGCCACGGTGACACATTGTAAAGAGGCTCCACGTAATTTCCTTGCGCAATTTAGGGTTATTACGGCAATAAGAACCAGATATAATTCCTTGTTTGCTTAATTAAAGCTTATGTTAAAGAAAAATACAAATTCTTTTGTTCTGCGTTAAATTAAATTCGTTTTGTGAATTTTCTTGCCATTCAAATATGAAGAATAAACTCATGTTAGGTGGAAATGTTCTTATTTATCTTTTAATTGCAATTATAGTGATGATTACGTGTCCAGCAGTCTTTATTTTGTCAATGGTCGGTTTGTCCTCTGTAAATATTCTGCATGAAAATTATTCTCGCGAAAGAAAATCCAACGCCTGCCTCAAAACCTAATTAAAAGGCTGCAATGTTTCAACAGAGTACGTGATGTTTTTACGTAAATACAAGGAGAAAATTAAAAAATGAATAAATGATCAAAGAGTACTCTTAAGACTGTAGTATCAAAAGTTACCATCTCGAATTCTTTGAAGTCAGATTAAATTATTATCTAATATCAATTTAATTTAAATGGTTTTATTAAAAATTGAACATCCATCAAATTTAAATGACTCAAATAAATCCGCGACAATTTTTTCAGACTCATCTCATTAACTTCATGTTAATTTGATTTTTCCGTTCGGAATCTGCATTTTAATATTTTTCTTGTTTACCAAAATGAGCTAAAGGGAGAGTAGAAGTCGAATTTCGTAATACAAGGTATATTTCTTTTCTGGAATATGTTCAAAACCCGTTACCTATGTATTTTTGTAATATGAAGTAACTTTTTTGAATTATACCATACCTAAACATTCCTTTTGGAACTATATTTGTATTAGGGTGGTTATACTGAACAACTCTGTTGATATCGCCACTCATTTTGATATATTTATTATACTTACTCACTTTTTTTGATATGCAATAAAGATCATATCAATATTATTATTATTATTTAGACGATTAGAAAATCGGATGTAACATCTCAACTAGGACATCCTGTATATTCTTGTTTCGTGTTCAATAATTTGTTCAATACTTTATTACATACGATTTGAAAATTATATGCTTACAACCAATCAGTAAATGTGATGCAGATGAAATACATAATAATTTTAATTTCAAGTTATAATGAGATATGCTGTACCGGGTGTTCACAGGAAAAGTGTCCCCTTTTCTTCATTGTTATTCAAAAAAAAAAATGTAATAATAAAAGTTGTAAGGATATAAAACAATTGGCATACGTAACAAAGACAGTTAGACAATTATTAAAAAAAAATCGTCAGTTACATTCTCAAAAATCTAACGGCACTTTGATCTCTCGAGAATAAAGCGATTTCAAGATTTATTGGATTCACAAATTGTTCTACTGTCATGGAATCTAATTTACTTTATATTAAAATATAAATAATTTTTATTAAAACAAGGACTCAATGTCAGTAACTTTAGGACTTTGTTACAATTTCCTTTTAAATGGGAATCATAATTTTTAGTGATATCTAAAGAAAGATCATCAGCATACATACAGACAAATAAATAGAACCGGGTCCAATACTGAGCCTCGAGGCACCCCCAAATCAGTTTCTAAAACCTTCCAGATAAGAGATTTTCTTATTCATAGAGTTCTGTAAATTCAATAAATTGTTTCCTAAAGTTAATAATCCACGCATGTAAATTTTAGGAAAGCCCTCAGATTTTGGACAATGTCTACATAAATACATGTGCCCAATTTTAAGTTATTTCACTTACTAGTTTTTAAATTATTTAAAAAAAAAATAAAAATATTTCTTGACACCCTGTATCTTTTTAACGAAGCTTCCTAGATAAAAACATTATAGGCAAGACTCTCCTTAAAATTCACCAAGGAATACGAGGTTTCATTTTTGGTCACCATTTGTGAATCACCCTGTATAATATATTTTTGACAGCTCTTACTCTTTTACTGGACTTTCCAAAAAAACTAAACACAAAAAAACAAGATCTATATCGCGGAAATACAACATTCTTTGTTCTTAGTTATATTTATGTTAAATGATTTTAAAAAAACATCTCAACTAAGAATAACAGAGAAAAAGGCGCCCCCCCTCATTTAAGTTTGTATGTGCTTTAAATTAGCTTTGCTTCCAAACATATGAAAATCCAGTTACTGTGCTGGTATTACAACTAAATAGTTTAAAATCTGTGAGGAAATAACTTTAAAGGATTATAGGTTCAGTAAGCCCCTGAATTTCCGAACATATTATTATTTGTGTTCAAAAGGCTTAGTATTAAAGCTTAATCGCAAATTTCCAACACTAAAAAACAAATTTATCTCAACTATTTAAAGAAAGAACGCTTCAAAAATTCGATACTGTTTTGATAAATTTTTATTTCCGATCATATAGTACTTAACTTTCTCCGTTTGGGTAAAAAAAAAATTAAAAACAACACACGTCTATGTCTTAACAATGCTATAAATTAGATTACTATCTACAATACGATAAACCAAGCTCAGAATAAACATGGAGATTGTAACGAAAATAAGAACGAGTACTTGCTTAACAAAACGACATCCTAATTCAACGGCAGACAAGCAGAAGTAACTGTATTAATGGAAAGCAAATACCTAGTTTATGGTTTATTATTTAATACATAAGACTGTGTTTGTATAACGTCATTCTTAAACGCAGTGAGATAACGACAATATTTGTTTTGGAATACAGAAACGGGTGAAATCTTGAAGGGTCTAAAGAAGCTTTATCTGCGTAGTAAACGGTAAAAACGACCGTCCACAGCTTTCGTCGTTTCCCTGTCATTGTTTCAATTTAAAGTGTACGATAATTTTTTGTTAGAAATATAATTTTAAATGCAACTTAATGTGTTAAAAGTTCAAAAAATCAATAGCTTCCAAAGGAATAACTCCTAAAAAACGATCAATTCATTATTCCACTATAAATTATTTATGATTTTTTTGTTATATCCACTTAGCTAAGGTGAAAGGAAGTTCAGTGTCGTTCGCATAAAGCTGTATTTTGCATTTTTTTAAACAAGTTTACATGCTAATTAACAGAGGCCCAAGAATTGATTCTTGCGGAACTCCACATGTTACACATTCTGTAGATGAGTTACATATATTCGTTTCTACATATTCGAATGCCTTTGAAAAATCTAATAAAATTGTTCGACCTTTATCAGAGGCAGATGTTGTGAAAACAAGAATCAAAAATACACAAATTTATAATGTTAGTAAGAAAAGGCACCACCTGGGGTACCACGTAAGACTCATTCCAATATTTAATTGATGAATTAGAAAGTGTTTTATTTTTCCTTATAGCTGTTTTACATTGACAATTTATTGATCAATTAATTCTTGAAGTCGCTTCATCAATAAATTGGACAAGTGTAATGCACCAAATCTGCTGTCAAAAAACTTCATGAATTTATTCATCAAGTTCTTGACGAATTAGAGCATGTTCTAATTTTCGTCAATTTCTTCGTGAAGTTCGGAAGTACCAACCCAACAGATTTCCATCCTCAGATCAGTAATGAGGTTATGTTATTGGAATATGTAAATAATTGTGTGGCGTCGTACTAGTTTTGCATTGTTTTTAGTGATTTGTTACTTACAAACACTAATATTTATATAATATGTGTCAAAACGGTACCGCAGTTGTATCACTACAATTATGAGTGGGAATTTTTAAATTTATTTGCTTCTTTGATTCGTTGGTAGAACTGATTCATGCGTCAAAAAACTTGATAAAGTCTGTAGCAGTATAAAACCACACTGTTTACCAATAAATTCGTGAATTAATTCATGAAGAACTTCGTCAATTTATTCATCAATAAATTGTCAATGTAAAACAGCTATTAGAAATTCCATTGGCAGCACTAATCGATTTGTATTGACTTGAAGACTTCTAGTGATACTGATTTCTCGAATCTCTACCACAGGATGACATATCTGAAAGTAGACTTAGGGATTTTTTAATTCGGTTTATACAGGGTGTTAATGACCTTATGTCAAAAATTTAAAGAGGTGAAAAAGGAGCAAAAATCGAACTGTATTCGGAAGTCAATTTGTAATACATTGTTGTAGTGATTGCTGTGCTGTTTTTCGAGAGTACATTTAATAGCCGTATTTCCAAGTTTTGTTTT